TGTGGCTTAGAGACCTAACAATGAGGAAGGAAAGACAAAAGTTGGGCTGTGAATGACTGTCACCGCGGGGGGGGGGGGGGGGGGGGGGGTTTGTATGTTTAAAATTGTATTTGTATCTGTATGTTTTACGCTTTAAAAAAAAAGTATAACTAATGAATGCCGATACAAAAGGCTGTATATTTACTTTATATTATTATGTATGTTTTGTCTTTTCTTGTATTTTTCTTTCTGTTTTTAAAGGTAATAATGTTTAATAAAAACTATTTTTTTAAAAAAACAATTGTTCCCACAGAGAACAAATCATGATTTACACCTGCCATAGATTTTAGTTGGTGCAAAAATTTCTACTCTAATCATCTAATCTAATCCAATCCAATCCAACCCATCCGAACCCAACCCAATACAACACAATCTAATCTAATCTAATTTAATCTAATCTAATCTAATCACCCAAATGTTTGCCTGGGATATAGATTTTATTAGATCAAAGTCAATGACAGCCACAATAAACCCAATTCCCAGTTGGCATTGTGACTTTTTTTAGTTATCTCACTGAAAACAGAAAGAGTTAATAAATCTTTGTTTACTTTGCAACTGCATATTTTGGCTCTGTTTTAAAATTATGTTCCTATTACATAGCTTGCTATAACAATTTCTCTCTTGCCATTTTAGCGTTTTCATGCAAACCTCTCCAAACCCAGAGCCATCATGAAAGCCATTCATTATTTCCTAGCTATGATTTGGCAAACAAGGTCAAATTTACAAGGACAAAAATTCTGCCAGCACATCCAGCAAAATCTCAAAGACTCAAATCGAGGGCCACATTTTCAAAGTCTTAATTAGCATTGCTGTCTAAAAATAAAAATAAAAAGAGTTGGTTACCTTTCAGAATCTCCGGCAGAGTCGGCTGTTCTCTGCAGAAAGGAAGAAGGGAAAGAAGAAGAAGAAAGAAGTGACGTTTAGCATTTGGGGTTGAAGATGACAACATACAGGAAAGCAAAGTTTCCCAATGCGATTAACACCAAAAACAGACAAACCACCCTGAGTAGCAATTGAGTATTTCAAAGCGTATGATGACTTAATGCTTGCGCCCACTTTAGAGAACGGTGTTAAAAGTTAAAAAGCAGTTATGAATTTGCAAACATAAAATGCATGGGTGGGACAAAGATTTAAAAATTTTTTTCCATCCAAAGCAGTAGTTTTGAACTCCTTTAGAACAGCACACTTTCTTCTTAATTTTTAATCTAGTATAGACCATTTGTTGGCCGTGACCAGGGGGACCTTTGCCCAGGTTCGCCTGGTGCACTAATTGTGACCCTTCTGATCGGGAGGCCCTTCAGACAGTCACTCATGCCTTTGTGACCTCAAGACTGGATTACTGTAATGCGCGCTACATGGGGCTGCCCTTGAAGAGTGTCCGAAGACTTCAGTTAGTCCAGAACGCGGCTGCGCGAGTGATTGTGGGTGCACCTAGATACACCCACGTTACATCTATCCTCCGTGAGCTGCACTGGCTACCCATTGGTCTCTGGACCCGCTTCAAGGTGCTGGTCGTCACNCAAGTAATCGGAGCTCACTCTGTTATGCAGCGCTAGGGATTCGAACTGCTGAACTGCCAAACTGCTGATCTTAGGTGTAGTTAATTCCTACTGGATTCACTGACAGTGGATAATTTGTCTGTTCATCTTTTATGTGACAAACACAAATACTATTTCAACCACATGCACACATTGCTCCCTTCTGAATTTTCCATAATAATTGCTGTCATGTAACTACAGCTGGGATGTATAACCATTTTTTCCCCCCAGTTCTGCCATGATGCAAAATATCTGAAGATTAACCATTATTGAGGACAGGACTTTAATGGTTATATTTGCATTATGTCAGGATGCATTTAAATTAAACACTGACTGGTGTAAGCAAACTGGTGTATCTTCTGTTATATGGTAGTCAGTGAAATGGGAACTGGCAAATCTTATCATTAATTGTGGGTTTAAACGTTTTCAGGCAACTTCAGACAACTGCTTTATAGAAACAGGAGGAAAGATACAGAGCAAGTACTTTTAAAGTTTAAACCCATGAAATTCAAAGAATGTTTATTACCATTGCTTTGCTTTTTAGCACAGCAATGAGTACATATGAAACATAGAGTAACACGTCTGCACATAAAAGATTAATTCTCAGTCAATTCAGTACAGGTGAATGTATTGAATGAATGACTATTCTTTGCATTTATTGCCATAAGCAAACAGTGCAAGAAATCTAGACTTTCATTTTCCTTTATGCTACTATAAGTCTCCTTCTTTCTTATCTACTTCTGCTTCATTAAATTGGCAATCACTTATAATCTTACCTGACAATATTTCATAAAATGTGCCTGAGGCTTCTTCTTAGACAGGTGTATGTAGCAATGTGCTGATGAGGTTTTCAGAGTCAGTGAGGAATACACCATTTTCCCAGAAAACCTGATTCTTAGAGTCCTCCTGATGCTCCATTTATTGTAGCATGATGACAACTCACTGTCCTTGTGACATGGTCTCATTGACCGTGAACTGCAGAAACATTCCGAGGGGTTATTTTTTTTTGGCTGTTCTGCTGCTACGGTTATTCTTTCCTTCTTGTGATACAAATCCTACCAAATAAACAACCTACAAGGTATTTGTGATGCTGCTGGTGATGTTGACCTGTTCCCATTGGTCACTTTGGTTGCATTCATACTTCCTCACTCTACAGTCCTTGGGTTCTGTCCTATTTAGTCATTCTGGCTTCAGATAGCAATCACAAAGGCTTATACATCACTTCACAATGCTTTACAGCCCTCTCTAATAGCAATAGCAATAGCAGTTAGACGTATATACCACTTCATAGGGATTTTAGCCCTCTCTAAGCGGTTTACAGAGTCAGCACATTGCCCCCAACAACAATCCAGGTC